ATTCAAATATTTCACTGGAATTCAAATATTTCACTGTCTCTATCTCTCATTATGTTTATCCACTCCTCTGCTGCTTCCTCAATTTGAGGCTGTTTGAGCTTCCCTGGATTTTAATATTAATCCTAAAAGCTGGTTTCTTAATGTTTTTCTTTTGAGACCATTCCTGAAGTGTACTTGGAATGATTGATTGATGTTTAGTTTGACGAAAATAGCTTTTCCAGGCTGATAAACTGAGGATGTGGTCTCCACATTAGGTCAGCAAATTCAGTTTTCACTTGCCAAGACAGAATTTCCAACCTGTATATCATCTGCTCTGCTTTATGGATTTTTATAATCTTTTAAAGATTATTTTGAGTTGGTCCTTTGGAAAATCCCAGAAATTTTGAGCCACTGAATCCCAGGTATTTTGAGCCACTGGGAAGGTATGTAAACAATACTTTCTAAATAATTTGAAAATGCTTTTTAAATGTTACAGTTCTTTGTTCAGTCCTTGGAAACATCAAGAGGTTGCTGCACTTGTGTAAACACTCTGATTTACTTGCTCTCTGCTCAGGCAGCAGATCAACGTGATTCCAGAAACTTGCACAGAAACCTTTTGGGTCTGGTGAAATAAAGGCTGTCTTTGTTCTGCCGTGATTGACTCGCTGCTGCAGAGTAGGTGACATGTTTTGCCTACCAAGCATGTTTTCTAAGCAGAGTTTATATAAAGTTCATGGAACATTAAAACAGATAGCCTCTTCTCTTCTAATAAAATCCTCTTTATTATGTTATTGGAAACAAAGTTAATGCAGAATTGCTTTTCAGGTTTGTGATGGGCCTTCTGGAATGAAGTCATTGGATTACAGTTTTCTTGTGCTGGTTTGGATTGATGAAGGTTTATTCCCTTTTTCCATAGACATCTGGACTCTGATAAAACTCCATCACAATCCTTTCTTTAAAGTTTCAGAAAATTTGATGGTGACAGTGCACACATTCTGCATTCACTGCAACATGTGGAGGGCCCCCAGAGTGTGAAAGTGTGTTTGAGTATTTGTCACTGAGTTTTTCTGGTTCCAAACACTGCTTTTAACAGGGGGAAAGGCATTTGAGGTCTGTTGGATTCCTTTATTCTTTTTTAATTTGAACTGATTCTCTTTCCAGTGCACTGGCCTAGTGGCCTCAGAGCCTTACCTGAAGCTCTGAGATGTATTTTGTCCTTTTCCTATTCCCTATCAAACACCATGTTTGGGTTTTATTTTATTGGCTCCTCCAATTTCTGTCTCCATGTCTGCTGGGTAAGAATTTAGTCCTGCTAAAGAATCCAGTCAGGTGTCCAGATCTTGCTGGTGGTTTTGATTTTTGTTGGAGCACTTGAAAAGTGAAGATGTCTCATTGAAGCTTAAAAAACTAAAGCAGGTTGTGAGAATGAAGATGCTGTGCAGGAGAGGAAAGCTTTGCCAGATTGTAGCTCCTGGATCAGGGAGAGCTGTGGGAAGCTTTGGATGGCTCTGGGGGAAGCAGACTCTGCCCTGTCTCTGTGTGCTGATGGATCAGGGACCAAAACCTCTCTTGAGTTTGAGATGTTTGTGATCAGTGGCTTGGTTTGACTCTAGAGTTTTATATCTCTGAGGTGGAGATAGAACTGTGCAGCAGCTCTGTGTTTCCATACCTGCTGTAGAACATTTTCATTCATAAATAGATTTCAGGTAATGTAGGTGATTCCTACCCCACTACCCCTTTGCTTTCAGGTCACTAAAAAACATTATTTGAAACCATTGAGCAGTCTCAGAAGTGTTTCTACAACAGTAAATGTCTGTGAAGGGATATTGAATGGAACTGAAGGACACATAATAGATCTGTGCAGAGCAATACTTGTAAATGATGTAACAACCTCTGAATTCTCTGTCCCAAGTTAAACAAGGAGGAGGAACCTGGTTCACTCGGTGCTGGTATTGCAGGTGCCCTGCAGGAATGAGGGTGTACCTTGCTGAGTCCTGGCTTTTGCCTCTGTCACAATCCTGTCTTCATCTTCTGTGACTGATGCTGCCATGCAGTGTTTGCAACCCTCGGCACTGGCACTGTCACATCTTGGTGTCAGAGATGTCCTGAGATGCTGGAGAGGGGGAGAGGACAGATCTGATCTCCAGCTGACAGCAGATAAGCTGTGGCCTGGGAGGGGTTTGGGTATCAGATAAGGGCTCAGTGGTTGTTTATCTCTGACATTGTGCTGAAGAAAAGGGCACTGAAATGCATCCATTTCCAGCAGCCATCAGTGAGGTGGCAGTGGGGCCCTGCCCATCTGCTTCTCCCTTCAGCTTCCCTGCAGCAGCTCCTGGCTCTGGGAGGGGTCATTGCCCAGTGTGTGGCAGCAGGAGCAGCTCTGTTTGCAGGCACCCCCAGGGCGAGGAGAGGAAACACCACAGGCTGGGGATTCTCTCTGGTGGTGCTGAAGGGCCAAAATCATCAAGGAATTACAATTATCACTGGAAAAAAGCAGGGTAAGATGGGTACCTGTTGTGGGCAATGAGGATGTTAACACAGATGAGAACCCACAAGTGAATCCAGGCACTGGGGAGGTTGAAAAGCTCCCTCTGTCCTTTCTCCACCACCTTTAAACAGCTCAGCACCAGTGTTTGATGTGTGGCTGTTGCTTTGATGAAGGTGTGGGAATGTGGAATTCCAAACAGGGCATTGCTGGGTTTGCATGTACAGCTGCTTGTTTGCTTTCTAGTACAGATTTCTTTGTAAAATCTATATCTTGGCCCTGGCTTGGGATTACTTTAGCAGAAATCACTTTTTTCTGTCACGTTTTTAGCACCTTTTCTTTCCTTTGGAGAGGGAATAGTCTGAGATTACACTGTGGAAGGCACATTGGATTTATTGATGTATCTTGAGTTTTAAAACAAATTCATATTTTTCCATTGCTGCTAAGGAATGTATTTGGTTTTAATTTAAAACTGATCCAATACTTGGAATGGTCTGCATGGTGTCAGTCAGGCACTGGAGAGGTTTCTGTACCTTGTCACCACTGCCTGTTGCACTCCTTGGGGATGTGGGATATGGGTGCTGAACATTTATTTGTGCACCTGAGTCTGTGATAGCAGGATCTGCATCAGCTTGGAAATCACTGGGGGAAAGCTTGGATTCTCCTGAAAATCAAAAAGGCAAGAATGTCAGGGATCTACAGAAAAGTGGTTGTCTTTCTGCTATGTGAGATTTGTATTATTATTAAATACAATATATAGCATCATCAGACCTGGGAAAATAGAGATTTTTGTCCTTAAACAAAGGTTTTTCTGGCTGCTGTTGCTGCCTGTTCTAAATTTTCCAGTGACTTTCATGAAATAAGTACTTTGATTAATTTATTCATCTGTTTTTGTATGGGTATATGAGACTTCTAAGGCCATTTTTTCTCTGCTCTTTCCACATACATGGACACATTGAGTTTGCTAATAATTCACTGCATTGTCTTACCAGTTTCAAGACTGTCAGAGTGTGTAGTGTTAAATCTTTGTTTTTCTCAGTAGTAATTATTCTGTGTATTTCTCACTGCTGAGATATGTTAGTGCGCTTTTCTTCAATTAATTGATAATTTTTTAAGTAAGGTCATTTCCTATAGGAGGAGTACAACCATGTGCTTTGCATTGGGCCTGCTTGGTTTGCACCTCCCTCTTTCTGCACATCGATGAATTGTTTCTTGTCTCCATGCCCCCTTCACCTGGGTGAGGTACCTGTGAAATACCAAATGTGCAGCTCAGTGCTTTGCACCTTACAGGTGTGAGATAAATCACTTCATCTTGGTCACACCCAGAAGAATGGCTGCAGTAGCTGCTGCCTTCTGGGATGGAAGGAAGATGGGTTTGGAGTGAAAGTTTGTGTGTGTGTGATGTGGGTGCAGGCTCGTGGGGCGCAGGCCGTGGGTGCGTTCCTGTCTGGACATTGCTGCCAGTGCCAGCAGGGGCAGGGACATTGCTGGGGGGTCTCTGGGGCACTTTGTGCTGAAGAACACAAAACTCTGTGGAGCTGATGTTTGGCTCTAAGTCAAGCAGGTATTGATCTTGTTTAAGTCTAAAATGTTATGAATGCAATGGAGAAAAAAGAAACCATCCCCCAGAAAATACTGTTTATCTACTGCTGACTGGCATGAAAGTGAAATGGCCTTAAGACTTGTGTATGTACAACTCTCAAGTAGTTTCTGTGGCAGAAAATTAGATTTATAGAGTTGTGTTTTCAAAAATAGTTTGGCTTCTGATTCAACTATTTGGGGGTGCAAGGAGCATTTGTACCTTTGGAAATGTGAATGGGTGGGCTTGAGCTTAAGTTGTAATTTGTCCTTTCTGATGTATGAACACTCAGTTTGATACTAGGGATTACTATTTGTGTCACTGTATATTTACCATTTAATTCTAGCACTCCCTATAAAAACACTTGTGATAATGTAAACCTTCTTCATCCAGAAGAGGTACTTGGGTGTTTTGAAGACTGTTTGGGTTTTTTCCTGATTTTCTGCAGCTGTTTATTCCTTGCAATCCTTAAACACAGATATTTGAACTTTTCTCCCGTGATACCTTTTGCCTTTAAGTTACCAAATGTGTACTAAGTCCTTTAAAAAAATAGGTGCTTTGAGGTGATATGGATAATGATTGTATCTAAATCATGCATTAGGAAAAATGGAGAAAATAAAGATGCACAGTTGCTCTAGGAAGGTACAGTCTCTATTACCTAGAGTCAGAGTAGAAACACCAGTTCTAAGGGGCTGAGGATATGAAACCTTTAGGAACAAAGTAATGCACAACACCGTGCTTGTAGCTCTGGCATGGTCATCTAGAAATGCTTCTCAAATGTACGGCTTAAAAACTAGGGTCATTTTTTGGAAGAAACTTCTACTTGCATTTCATAGGTGTCCTTTAAATAAAGTATAATTCTTTTAATGGTTTGGGTTTTTTTAATCGTGGCCTTCTTGGCCACTTGGTATTTAGAAGAATGATTAATCTGGGGGATTTATTTTTGTTGTTCTGCAGCGGATATAATTTCTACAGTAGAATTTAACCATTCTGGAGAGTTGTTAGCAACAGGAGACAAAGGAGGGAGAGTTGTCATCTTTCAACAGGAGCAGGAGGTGAGTGCTGTCTAATTCCATTGTTCTTTTTATTCCCTTTTAAAATCAAGGAGCATGTTTTTGTAAAACCCCGTACACGAAGTGCATGCCTGTGTGATAAGTGATTACAACACTGAAATTTAATTAACTTGGTGATAGAAGTTATTTGAAACACTCTTTGGTTGTGGTATAAAGAATGTTGAAAGGGAAGACCAAAAAGGGGTAGGACACAAAAGCCCCTTGAGGGAACTGAAGTTGGTTCTTACACAGTGACTCTCTGGCTGTGATGATGATTTCAGTGGAACTGGGGATATTAAAAGTTGCCCTCTAGTAAGTGTGTGACTGTGACCTCAGGTGTCCTTTTCCACACCAATCAAGTAAAACCACAGAACCCCCATAGCAGAGGTCTCTTTTCTCCCTTTACCCTTGGTTTTTGGGCTTTTGGCTCTACCTCTGCCATTGGGCAGCTGAGCTGCAGTGCCTGATTTTAACTGAGGCTGGAAGTTGGAAGTTTTTGTGGTTATCATGTATTTCAGGGAGATGTCACCTCACTGCCTAAAGATGCCACTGTTAGTTTTGTGTAGTTTTTCCTTCAATTTCCATTTTAAAACTCCCAAAGCTTGGCATTTCTGGTTCCCTGAGCAGAGGGCTGATGTGTGGGCGAGGCACCGTCCCTGTGCCAGCAGCTGCCCTCGGTCAGTGGGGACATCTAGTGGGGCTGTGTGGCACCGGCTGATGGAGTATTTTGTGGGGTTTTTTTATTGTTTTCCTTTTATTTCTTTATTACTTTTAATTCTTGAGTTGTAGCTTGATGCTTTTAAGAATCCTCTTGTGCAGCTTAAAGTTGCAGTAGTTCCTTGCCTGCTTTCAGGTGGGCTGTATTTCAATGACTCCTTGGTTTTTGGAGCATAATCCAAGCTCACATCCTTAGGAGCTGGGATCCAGGGTAGGAAGAACAGCTGGGTTGTCAGATGAAATCCCACAGAATTGTTTTTGTCATTTTTTTTACTTCTCTGTGTTTAGGGAACGATTTGTGTTTATGGACTGGTAGTTGGTTGTTCCAACAAACTGTCTAGAGCAGATTTTATGTGAAAGTGAATGAAATAGAAGTGTTCTGTTTGGAGCTCTGTGCCCCTTTGTGCCACACTCCCTGCGCTTTGCAGCCCACGCCTGCAGGAAGGGAGGCGCTGCCAGGGCTGAGTGAGGAGCTGTGCAGACCTGTGTGCCTGCCCCAGTGCCAGAGTGCTGCCACCTCCGGGCTGGAATGTGGCAGCCGCTGACATCAGCTGGCTGCCAGGCAGGAAGTGAATCCTGCAGCTCCCAGAAACTGAGCAGGAATTTGCGTGGGCACGGTGCAATTACCTGAACTGGAATTCAGCATTGGCCGCTTGGGCCAACACCTCGCCTTGTTTGGAATTTTTTGTTTTCCTTTGAGCACCATGAGACTGAGAGTTTAAATTTGGATTTTAGCCCAAGGATGCATTTCACATATTACTGGGCTTATGTATTATTGTGATCCTGTAAAGTTTTACTAGAATGCACACATAGAATATTTAACCTCGGTCGTTACGGTCAGTCTGGAATTGAAGGAAAGTTCCCAGTTCCCTGGATTTCCTAAGGCATTTCCTACAGCACAATGGATTTCCTTTCCAAGTTGTTCCATGCAGTGACCCAGATTCAGTTGTTAGTTCTGACTGAGGCTTAGAACAAAGTCCCTTCCATTCTCCAGGGTGGGAAAAGCAGTGTAAGGGACAGGTGTGGTACAGAATTCTGGTGCCAAATGGGATTTCTGAGTGTTTTGGCCCATTATCCCTTCCCTGCCCCCAGCTTATTTTCAAGTCCAAGAATTCCTGCCAGCTCTCAGGGTATGAAGCACGGGAAAATGATGCAAAGAATGTGACAAATGTGGGCTAGCAAGGGTTGTATCAGATGTGTTCTGGTGAGCTACTCGGGGATTAAATGAGCCCATGGACATGAGACACCAGAGAAGGAAGGAGCAAAGTCCCCAGCCAGGAACATATCACAGCAAAGGCATCTGATGGTGCAATCTCTGGAGTTGGTGGGACAGGAATAAATCACAAAACCCAGCTTTAAACCACTACAGGTGAACATGGGGAGTACTACATCAGAAATGGACCCAATTTTCTGCACCCAGTGGATGAAATTCAAGGTTCAGTCCATGCAGTGCAGTATTTTGGTGCTTAAGACACAACTTTTGGCAAGAGGAATTGTGTAATTTTTCGGTTTTGTAAAACCAGTTTTACACCTGGTCAGGTAACTGCAGGGGTGACTGCAATGCCAGAGCAGAGGTGCTGAGCTTTTTCCCCATCTAGAAAGAGGAAGAAAAAGCTGCTTAAGAAGTTCAGAAGCTCCTAGGGGACTTGCAGATTATAAACCAGAATCGTGGAGCTGCTGGTATAAATTTAGAGGTGCCATGTGGGATTTCCATAGTGTGCCTGGAAAGCTGAATGTACTCACAGAGTAGATTTGCCATTTGTGTGTCTGTGTTGCAGGGGAAGAAATATTCCCTTTAAACAGCAAAGATGGGAAAATTAAAGATTAAATAAGTTGTAGTTTGGTTTTGTTTTGGTTTATTTTTTGTTTTTTTTAATAGGTAAAATATTAGTTTGTTCAGCTGCTCAGCATTAAGGTGAAAACTTGTTGGAGATGTTACATTCTGTGGAGAGTTTCTGGAAACTTAAGCTCTGCATGAACTGTTTCTTCTCTGATGTTTTCTTAGCCAAAATAGTAGAAACCTTAATAAATTTCTTGCCACAGAGATGATGCTCATCTTATTTGGTTGACAGGATCATAAAAATCAATTGGTTGTACCCAAATGTACATTGTATACATGTCTTGATCGTTTAATTCTCTTTTTAGAACAAAACCCAGTCTCACAGTAGGGGAGAATACAATGTTTACAGTACCTTTCAAAGCCATGAACCAGAGTTTGACTACTTGAAAAGTTTAGAAATTGAAGAGAAGATCAACAAAATTAGGTGGTTACCCCAGAAAAATGCTGCTCAGTTTTTATTGTCTACAAATGGTAAGTATTTTGCACCATAACATGTTCTTATGTAGATTTGTTGTTAGGATTTGGTCTAATCCTCTCCAAAAGGCCGGAATCAAGCGGGGTTTAACTGCAGGGATCTGGGGCCGTGGTTGTGGCTTCCCTGGGCACGGTGTCCCAGCACAGGGCGGGTGTTTGGGATTTTGCAGCCCCTGTGTACAGCGCATGTGAGACCTTCGTGTGTGTGAGAGTCCCTGTGACAGACATCAATCATTCATAGCAGTCCCTGTCCTGACTGAAACTTGCTGGAACTCTTATAAAAAGAACAAACTGTGGAGGAGGTTTTTTAATGCTTTTTGTCTTGTTTTCCCCAAGCAGCATTTTTGTCTTTTTTGTGCACGTGGGCGGCCTTGTCTTCTTAGAAGGAATCAGCAGTGATGCCTGGTGTCTCTCCACAGCTCTCATTTTAACCTGTGCTTGTTTCATTGCAGATAAAACAATAAAGTTATGGAAAATCAGTGAAAGGGACAAAAGACCCGAGGGTTATAATTTAAAGGAGGAGGATGGACGGTATAGGGATCCTACTACAGTTACAACACTACGGGTGAGTAGCTCACAATCAGCTCCTTCCCCTCTCCCAGCCCATGGCTCTGGGAGGAACCACCCCACCACATCATTGACTTCATCTTTCCTGTGCTGGCCCTTGGCAGAAATACTGACTTGTGAGATGTTTCATCCAGCTTGGGATGTGGAAGGACTGTGCTGGTGTCTGTGCTAGGTTGGGCTCTCACTCTTGCCCTGCTCTGTGTGCTGCAGGTGCCAGTGTTCAGGCCCATGGACCTCATGGTGGAGGCCAGCCCACGCAGGATATTTGCCAATGCTCACACGTATCACATCAACTCCATCTCCATCAACAGTGACTATGAGACGTACCTGTCTGCAGACGACCTGCGGATCAACCTGTGGCACCTAGAAATCACTGACAGAAGTTTTAGTATCCTTTTGCCATTGTTCTGTGGGTTGGGAACAGGAAAACTGTTGGGTTTTAGTTCCTTCCATGAGAAGTGTTTAGTACAGATACAGAGAATTCATCTCCTTTTCTCCCTAGTCATTGTAAGGGCTTTTACTTCTGGAGAAGGAATGGTTTGGTTTGGAAGGGACATTAAAGCTCATCCAGGTGGGCAGGAGCAGGTCACTCCAACCTGGCCTTGGACACTTCCAGGGATGGAGCAGCCACACCTGTGTGAAGCTTTTAATACAAAATAGCATTTTATAACATAGCAGTGTAATTAGAAATTAAGCAAAATGAAGTTTTGTATGAAATACTTGGGAGATAATTTGTAGTATAGAATTAATTACTGCTGGAGTGTGGAGCAAAACTGAAGCAGGTTTTTGCTGCTGTAAGAATTATCCTGAAACCAATTCAGAATGTGATGTTACCACCTTGCTTTGTAGAAAAATTGAATGGCTTGATTTTAACTCTTCCCTGGGTTGTGCCTGGGTCCCACAAGCCTGAGGTAGCATTTCTGAAAGCATCTAAAACTGAAAAATACCTTGGGAAAAACTCATTTCACTGGAGACAATTCCTTAAAGAGCTGCTGCAGACATTGTAGATATCAAGCCTGCCAACATGGAGGAGCTGACAGAGGTGATCACAGCTGCAGAGTTCCACCCCAACAGCTGCAGCACGTTTGTCTACAGCAGCAGCAAAGGCACAATTCGCCTGTGTGACATGAGGGCATCAGCCCTCTGTGACAGACACTCAAAGTGTGAGTGCTGCAGTTCAGTGTCTCCCTGTGCCAGAGGACATTTGCTGTTGGAGGATATCAAACACTGAATAGTCTGTGTGGATTTGTGTAGAATTCCTGTAGTATATTGAGTATATCTAAAGCCTAAAATCTAAATAAATCTTGTATTTATGTTTTCCTGGAGTAAAAGTAGTGAGTAAAATGAGTAGCAGGTTCTGTTTGGACACCAGAAAAGGATTTTTGCAGACTTCAGGTGGTTAAAGGCCATTTGGTCTGTACTTGGTGCTGGAAATCTGGTGCATGTGTGAATCAAGACTTCACATATTACCAAATAATTCATTTACTAAGGAGCTGACCTCGGCTTGCTACAACAATAGAGGGTATGGCAACTGTACTACCAATGTTTTTTCTTGAAAGTTATTTTATGTAATACAGAGTAACACAAGGCAGAAAGCTTGTGGAGACAATGTTAAAGTAATCCAGGTGTATCTTGTATCAAAGAGACACAAACTGACCTCTTGAAATGCCTGTCTTATTTTCCTGCAGTGTTTGAAGAACCAGAGGATCCTAGCAACAGATCATTTTTCTCTGAAATCATCTCTTCTATATCTGATGTCAAATTTAGCCACAGTGGTCGATATATGATGACTAGAGATTATCTGTCAGTGAAGATCTGGGATTTAAATATGGAAAATAGACCTGTGGAAACATACCAGGTACTGGGTGAAAATCATGTGGGCTGGGAATTAAAAACCATGGACAGGGGCTGAATCTTACTGATGGTCTTGATGTGGCAGTTACAGTTTTGTCTCTAGATTCAGGCAGAGCATCCCTGAGCTTTGGGGATTCCACACTCCTGCTGAAAGGTTGTGCTGTTTGCAGGGTGGTGGCAGAACCCAAAGCCATGTTTGGGGCTGGAAAAGCCTCACTCTTACCCAGTGGGGATTTGGGATGCGGAGAGGTGATCTCCAGCCATGAGACTCGGACAGGTCTTTGGCTGTCTTTATGTTCTGTGCCATATCAGGAGGTGAAACATGTCCTTTTCATAAAATGTTTTTAGCTGCCTATGAAAATTGCTGTTTGCATTGTGAGAAAGAGCTCTTGTGAACAGTCTCAGGTTCCTTGCTTTTGGAACAGTCTGGGAAGGCTCTTTTACAGGTATGAGTCTAAGGCTCACTCAGTTTCTCTTATCCCTCTTTTCCAGGTGCATGAATACCTCAGGAGTAAACTCTGCTCACTGTATGAGAATGATTGCATTTTTGACAAGTTTGAATGCTGTTGGAATGGATCAGACAGGCAAGTGGAATTCTTATCCCTGTGCACTTCAAATCTTTCCAAATTATTCTTAAAATGGGCAGTGGAGCTCAAATGCCTGGGTTTGGACAATGCAGTAGTACTTTAGGAGACTGTAATATGTGCATTATTAACTGCAAGGATCTGTACCAGACCTCTAGGGGAGCCCATGGGAAAACCTTCCAGGAATGTTCTTTTTCCAGTGATTTACCATGGTTGTGACCTGCCAATAGCACCACTTAGGACAGCTCTTGCTTCTGTGCTAATCATGCCATTAACTGCTTATTTGTGGCATTTAAAGCAGCTCATTGGTTCCATGTCAGTACTGTCAGACGTGGTGTGCTTCTTTTTTTTTTTGAAATCTGACATCTGTCTGCTCAAATATTTTTTGAGGCAAAGGAAGGACAGGGAAACTTGTAAGTCTGTTTTTCTTACTGAATAGCTGATGCAGAATCAGGGGCTATAAGGAATTTTCACAAACTAGATGTGCTGCTTAGTACCTAAATTTGCACACCTTGTATGTCACTAAAAGTGCAACGTATTGGCTCTCTCCTGTGTGTGTGTGAAAAGCAAACGAAATAATGATATTCAAGGTGCTTCGATAACAAAATACCTCAAAGGGCCCAGGAAAGGTAAAAGGGTATTTTTGGGAAGTTTGAAATTTATAAAACCTGCTTCCCTTTAGCTGTAGCAGGTGTGGGTGATGCCTCCTGCCTTCCGTTTGCGTGATCTCCGTCGAGACCCTCTGGCTTGCTGAAAGGAGAAGGCATTCCTAACTGACATCCTTCTTCCTTCTCCCCCTGTGCAGCATTGTCATGACAGGGTCCTACAACAACTTCTTCAGGATGTTTGACAGGAACACGAAGCGAGACATCACCTTGGAGGCGTCGCGGGAGAACAACAAACCGCGCACGGTGCTGAAGCCGCGCAAGGTGTGCGCCAGCGGCAAGAGGAAGAAGGACGAGATCAGTGTCGACAGCTTAGACTTCAACAAGAAGATCCTGCACACAGCCTGGCACCCCAAGGAGAACATCATTGCTGTAGCTACCACAAACAACTTGTATATATTTCAAGACAAGATGAATTAGGGTTGGCATTCCTAACTGAAGAGTCACTTCCTGCATAGTTGAAATAGTTGAATCTAGCATTTGTACCTGTAACAAAAGCAAGTGAGAGGTCCATTATGGCACCCCTTTCCAGTGTTTAAAAATGTGCCATATGACAACACACTTTTATAGCTCCATGGAGAAGGCTCTGTGGTTCTGTTGTCTCCGTTCCTGCTAGCCATTTAGGTGAGGATAGGGCACTTTTTAATTTAAATGACTACTTGCACCATCTTGCCTAATGGACTAGACTGGACTGTCTCAACATCGGTTTACTCCACTTTTTATGCCTTCCATTGTGATGACGTCAGACACAGGGAAAGCCTTCAATCATGCTATGGGATTTAATTGTGTAACCTCATTACTGTATCATTCGTGGCCCCCTTTTTTTATTAAATACAGCTCATTCTTGCTGTGGCTTGTAGCATTCCTCCTCCTTCTGGCCTCCTGGACTCCCCCTTCCCCCTCGTCCCCCCTCCACCTCGCCTTGGTGGTGGTGTATGGAAAAAAAATAAACAAAATAAAGCACATAAAATGGGTCCTTTTGGGGTCAGTGGTAAAGGGGGTCTGTGTTGCAACAAGTGTTTTAATAAACAGTTGACTGTAATCACTCCTTGCCATGTCTGGCACCAAAAAAAAGAGAAAATAAGGAAAAAAACAAACTACTGAATAAAAGTGACAAAGAATGGAGAATCTGTTTTCTTTTTTTTTTTTTTAATCTACCTCTTTATACAAATACTCTGTGTTTTACCTTAGATGCATGAAAATAAAATTATGTTTTTTGTAATGATTTTAACCAGTATTAATTATTTTTCATGGGAATGAAGAGAGGGAGGGATTTCACAGGTACCTGCATTCACTCCTGAGCAATCTGGGCACCAGCCAGTGTATGACCACTTCCATCTCAGCACCACAACTGCTGTCAGGTTTTCATCTGAGCAGCCACTTCCTGTGCCCTTGAATGCTCCTCTTTTTAACCTGTTGCTTTAATCAGAAAGGGAATAGAATCTTCAGGTTTTAAATTCCATTTTTTTGGGACTGATGTCTTAATGTTTAGTTTCATCCTGGTTTCTTCAATGCCTTGTTTTAGGATAAAATACCTTTAATGCCTTGTTTAGAGCACCAAGTCCCCTGTGGCTTTGTGAGAAGTTGTCCAAGCTCCTGTGTGGTGTTCTGTAGTACGAGCCAGCACCATGGTTCCATAGCTAATGACTGCACTGCATTCTGCTGCTCTATTTTCTGTATTTATTGCTAACTGGAAATGTAGTTTAAACCATGCAAATGTTTTCTTCTGGCTTTTGGCTTTGCAAAGTTCCTGCACTTATAGAAATGTTCACTGGTGCGAGGAGCCAAACCTGTGGAGTACAGAAGCTGCATGAAATAAGTGTTCATAGTGATGTGAGAGATTTCAACTCCTCAGCACATAAGGCTTATCCAAAGATTAACTAGATATTGATGCTTTATAAGGCTCATGAGTTTTTACTTCCAGTATTTTTGCTGATTGTGCTTTTAGGTTTTGTTCCTCCTTCATGGAAATGTTCAGTAAAGTTTGAATTCATGGTGAATTTACCTTGACTGGCAGAATTTTTGCTTTTGAGTTACCTGTATTTAATTATTTCTGTGGCTTAGAGGTAGTTATTAAAATGACATTATGATTTGATCAACTGAGATACTATTTCTGCTGTAAAATTTTGGCTGGGTTAGAGGTTATTAACAAGAGTACTATTGCAATCACTCTTCAGTTTTTTTAAGTCCTTCTGCAGTGGTGTGAAAATGTAAAAATTCTAATATTTATTAATCCAGTTCTCTTAAATACAGTATTTGTCTTGTACCATGCATGCGTGACCATGAGCCTTTGTAAGGATTTTACCTTTTTTTTCACCTGTTAGCCTTGTGAAACAAATGAATTGCCCCAGGAACAGCAGCTGTTTTCCAGTGGGTGAATAAACAATTGGGCCCTACTCCTATTTAGTAGCATGTGACTAATTTTACTCCAGCAACCAGACCTTCCAACACTTTGAGAAACAACTTGTTGAGTAACATTAATCACATGTGTAGCTGTTTCCAGGGCCAAAGCTTATGTTCTTTATCTTGCTGTGAAGGCACTGAGGTGATGAGATGCTTTTGCTGTGGAGCTGGTAAAATCCGGTTCTGTGAAGGTGTAGGTTTAAGGATGCTGGATTGGGAAGATGAGGGCCATGGTATTGGGGCTGCTGTTCCTGTGCCTCCAGAGCCCCAGGGATGCACGGAAGGTGCTGAGCACAGCCCCGCGTGGAGACGGCACAGAGTGAGCGGGTGCAGTCGCCCAGAGCAATACTCCAGTACAGCTTCCTCTGGCACCACAGCTGGGCCTGCTGGGATGGGTTAAAGCTCACCGTGGGAAAGGGTTTGGGTTGGCTGGTAATGGTGGTCCTTGAGATGTCATTCACCTGAGGTTTAACTTGTCCTCACCAAACCCAGCTCCTGCTGTGCTGTCACACTCCATTAGAGAATTCTCTAAGCACACTGTCCACTGATACATGCTGTAAATCATATATTTTATTAATAAAAGTACACAGAGAATACACTTTGTCAGGATGCTTTTTATGCTCTTTCCTGCCCCTATCCTTTTCTGTGTTTGCAGGTATTTTCGAATGAGTGGTCTCTTCCCTGTGCCTGGGGAACTGTGTCCCTGTTCCTGTCGTGGGCAGGATGGTTCTGGTCACTGCCTTCAGCTGCTCCAGTCACACAGCATCCTCAGTGCCCAGTAAAACCAGTGCAAATCTGCAATTCCCAGTCCCTGAATGCCAGACTGAACATGGGGAAGGCGTTCTCCTCCCTGCATCTTGTCCTTGTGCCACTGATGGTACTGAAATGCCACCAACCACCACTTGGGTCGTTTGTATCTACAATGTGACAGCAGCAGTGTCACTCGCGCCACCAGTTACTGTTCAGAGTGAGGTGTTTATCCAGCTGACACAATGCCCAGCTGCAGGAGAGCCCTGTGCCTCAAGTCCTTTGTCACTTCCCCACTAGGATGTGGCTGCTGCCTGGAAAACACGCTGGGCACGCAGCAGCACCTGCTCCCTACTGCTCTGTTCAGGGAGGACAGGATCATTTCTTGCTTAACTGCAGATCCTTTTATTATCAGCCTGGTTGGAAAAAGCTCGGGTGGTGCTTCAAGCAAAAACCTGTGAGATTTCCCCTCCTGGAGAGGGGCTATGGATGATGGAATACCAATATTTTAATAGAGACTTTTGTTGCCATCCTCTTAGGCACAGCAGAGCTGGGAAGCAATTTCCTGTGTGCTGCTCTTCTGCTCTTCCCTCCGGGCTGTAGGGGTGTAAAACATCCCGACTCCCATCAAACACTCCTTTTATTGAATAAAAGGTGCCTCCTTTTGCCCTTTTCCATGGAATTGGCTCTTGTAAAGAGAAGGACTTGGATCGAGATGTGCTGGGAGTGAGGCTGCTGTGTATTGACTGTGGCTGTCTGGAGCTGTTTGTTTGCCTGCAGCAAACATCTTATTTAACTTGGTTTGAGCTTGTAGAGATAAGCGGTGGACTAAAACCAATGTTTGTTTCCCAGCTGCGAGAATAAAAACCGTGAATTCGATTCCTCTACACTGTGAATTTTACCCTCCAATCTGAACAGTCTCAACCTTTGCAAGGAGGAAAACAGCCCTGGCTGGTTTTGATAACGCTTTTCTGAGCCAGGGCTCTCCACTAGGAGGCAAACGCTACCGTAGAGAGGTGCAGGTTTGGAACCGCGAGCGGCCACGGCGAGGTGTGGTCACTGTCCCTCGAAGTCACCTCCGGAATCAACAGCCATCACTTGTTGCTAAATATGAAACACTATAAAAGCGTTCCCAGGGTGGATTAATGCAGTACAAAGAGCTCAGCCGAGGTGTGCAGGGCCAAGAGCCCTTGTGCAGGGAGGGTGCTGGGTGTGTCCAGCTCAGGAAAGGGCACTTGATCAGCTTTGGGGAACTGAAATACTAACAAACCAAATAAGAATAATCATAGCATGTTTTAGGCTTGAGAATCATGCAACGTTTTGGGTTGGAAAGGACCTTAAATGCCATCCAGTGCCATTCCCTGCCAGGGGCAGAGACATTTTCACTGTCCCAGGGTGCTCCAAGCCCCATCCAACGTGGTCTTGGACACTTCCAGGGGTCCAGGGCAGACAGAGCTCTCCTTCTGTACTTGTTTCAAACATTTAGAATACCTTGGAACCATGAGATAATCCCAGTGGGATTGTCACAGACATCTTCTCATTAAAAGCCTTTCTTTAGGATTTTTCCCCCTTCTGAGAAGCTGTGGCCTCAGCAACAAAATGTAAACAATGGCTATCTGCTGCTGTGGAATGCAACAGGTGGATCCGTGATTGGTCTCGGGTGGATGTTTGGATTTACTGACCACTCACGGCAGAGCTGGGTCTCGCTCTCTGCTGAGACACAGCCCTTGGTTATTGATTCCTTTTCTATTCTTAGCTTAGCTAGCCTTCAGAGAACTTTCTCTCTATTCCTTTTAGTATAGTCATAATGTAATATATCATAAAATAATCAATCAAGCCTTCTGAACATGGATTCAACATTCTCATCTCTCTCTTCATCCTGCAATCCTTGCAAGCCCTGTGACATGGGATTACCTTGGCACAGGTTTTGTTAACTGTTTGATTTCAATTGACTTAAAGGTTTTGGTTTTTTTCCTGGAAGAAAAACCTTTGTAGTGCACTCCAGTACAAAAAGCTTTTTCCAGGAATCTGTGGCCATTGTTTCTCTTCTATTAATATGTGGTTTTGTGTCCATCCAACGCCACCATTGTCACAGCATTTTCCATCCGAGGATTCAAATTACAAACATTAATTACATCATTCAAGTGCCTCAAGGAACCTGTGGAGTGGTTTGAGCACGGGGCTGAAAGTCAGGCCTTGTGAATGCTATTTCTGGCTCTGCATTGACTCACTCTATAATCTTGATCAATTTATTTCTGACTCAGAAATTTTAATAGTCCCACTTGACTGATAAATATTAATGCCACAAGTGTTGTGGCAAATGCTTCCTGAATGAGGGTGGTGACAAATGCTCATGTTAGCCTGTGATTTGAGGGTTGCAAAGTAGGGTTAGGTTACCTGGGCAGGTTTTTTATTCAAAATCACAAGTAGCTCATTGTTCTGATTTCAATCTCAAGTGTTTCTGCAGCCCCTCCACCTGTAAATAGATGTTTTATCAAATTAATTCAATTTGTGCTTTCTACTACTAACGTAGCTAATTCTCTCTCAGTGCCACCCCAGAGCCATCCAGATTTTCCACAGGGTCAGATATTTGGTACAGTCATGCAAGGCCTGCAGTCAAATTCAGGAGAAGTGTTGGTGTTACAAGAGGCAGATTTCAAACCTCCAACATTAGTGTTGAGGAATAGAAGACAAAAAATACTTGTAACAGGTATTGTAGTATAGGATGATTGTGACACTTGTGCATACAAGCTTTTTCTCTAGCTAAAAAAAGCTGACAGAAATAAGTGATTTTTTCACATTTGTAATGGGGAGCAAACAAAGAACACTACTGGAGTTGTGTCTGTGTGGCTTCACTCTGATAGTGCTGCTGTTACTGAACTCCTTCAGTGAGCAGAGTAATGAAAAAAACACAATTTATATTCTTGTGGCTGTTGATGGGAGGACTTTATGGTGTAAAAGGCTCCTTTACAACTTTCGGTAAGCAAAATGCTTATAAATATAGATATACGTGTTAGAGACATGAAACTGAAGTCACAAAATTACATCAAAAAGAGTCTAGGCCTCCAAATAAATCTTGACATTGAAGTGATGACAAAACAGAATGAAAAGAACAAGAAGAAAAACAGTCGGGGGCTGAGGGAGCGGGGAGGGGACACGGGGACAGGGAGCGACTGAGGGACAGGGAGTGACAGAGGGAGCGACAGAGGGACCGAGAGTGAGTGACAGAGGGACAGGGAGCGACAGAGGGAGAGGGACCAGGAGCGACACAGGGACCGAGAGTGAGTGACAGAGGGACAGGGAGCGAGAGAGGGACAGGGACCAGGAGCGACAGAGGGACCGGGAGTGACAGAGGGAGCGACAGAAGGACAGAGAGTGACAGAAGGACAGGGAGAGACACAGGGACCAGGAGCGAGTGACACGGCCCGTCAGGCTGGGAGAGCCCTCCCAGAGCCCCGAACCCGAGCGGTGCCCGATCGCCACCTTGTCCCCTCTGCGTGCCACCTCCAGGGGACCCCTCCAGGGATGGGCACTGCAACCCTTCCTGAGCCCCATTTCCATGGGGAAATTCCTGCTGTGCCCACCCTGAGCTGCCCTGGCCCAGCCTGAGGCCGTTCCCTCTGCTCCTGTCCCTGTGCCCTCCTGGCAGGAGCTGGGCAGAGCCACAGGGCCC